GGGCAGCGGCGTCGCCAACACCGCCAAACAGGCGCCACGGTGCGGTACTGTGCGAGACAAAAGAGAAAATGAAACACAGAAAGAAGGCGCATCGCGCTATTTGTCCAGTCATCGCTGCACTCGTCAACGTTGGAGCCGCTGGGATTTTTACACTGTCACTGCCGCGGATTTTAGCGGACGGGACGCTGCCTCACAAGCGCACGCCGTGCACCACGCAGTGCCGCGGGGCCGCCCACCTCCGAAGCGGCGCTCCAACGAGTGGAACGGGGAGAGAGAGGTGTACGGGCTCACGTGCACGGTCGCGCACAAGGCCGAGTCCACCATTGCAGTCACCTGAGAAGCAGTGCTCTGCGGGTACGCTCCTCCACCACAGCAGGGCCCCAGACAACCGGAAAAGATGATGCTAGGCATCTACACGACATGCGGAACCCTTTCTTCCCAGGCGCCAAAATGGTGCTGGGTTCACAGAGGGCGAACAGTCAGGTGGGAGTGCCGCAAGACACGGACGCAGTGACGGCAGAAAATACAAAAATACATAACTAAATTCCAAAACAAAGGCGCTCAGAAGTTCACGGAAAAATAAAAGCGAAGTGAGAAAAAAATGAGAGAAAAACACTTGAACTCAAAAAGCGGTCGCTGCACACCAGCACCTGCGCCGTGTGTCCCGCGGAGGTCGCAGTGAACGTCGTGGGTCGCTCGAGGGCCGCACCGCACCTCACTGCGAATCACATGCAACATGCTTGCGATGGGAGATGATAGGGGAAAGAGGCGCTTTTCACTTAACCGTTACGGCTCACACTGTGCGTCCTACACACACCGCCATGGGGCACAAGGCCGCTTCTTCCACTGTGGCGTCGCTGACGGTAGGCTGACGGCGAGCGCAAGGGCAAATCATTCAAACAGAAAAAAGACTTAGAGCCACTGAGGTCGTGAGGGAGAACAGTGCTGCTTTGGCTAGTGAAACGATCGAAAGAGAGCGGAGGCAAACGCGTGAAGGGAGTGCACATTGGCCCCATGCGGAGCACGCCTCAGCTGCCCTCAAATGCTCCTCGCCGTTCTACGCAAGGACGCGCTCGGCAACGCCTCTCCACGCAGGCAGCTGAGTCGCGGGTAACGGGGCAATCACAAACAGCGCAAAGGCGAGTGAGGCAGCACGCGAGGCAGAGGCAGGCAAAGCTGAAAAGGAAATTAGAAAGATGCTGGGCGGCTGAGGTGCGAGCAACGAGTGTGTGTGCGCGTGTATGTGTGTGCCTCGGAAAGGAGAAAACCGCGAACCAGGAGAAGGACACCGCAACGGGAGAGTGAACTCTGTCGCTCTCTGCTCCTCGCGCGGCGCCATCCCTTGCAGACTCCACACACGCGCACGCAAGCACCTCCCGCGGACGCACATCCGCAGGTGCACACGTCAGCCACACACCCGCCAACGCTGTCGAAAAAGGAAAACAAAAAAGAAGTTGCTCTGTTGATGAACGGAGAGAGAGAGAGATAAAAGAAGAAACGCTTACACTTTACGGTGCGCATTCGTGGAACCAGAAGAGAGAGAGAGGCGAGCTCCGCTGAGTCTCGTTGGAGCGCTCAAGACCGCGTCACTGGTGTTCGCCGGCTCCGCTGTCCTGCAGCTCGCCAGGATCCACTGGAGGAGCGGCAGGGGAGGGAGGATAGGGCGAGAGGACGGAAAGGGGAAGTCAACACGGCCACGCGCACCAGCGCCCCAACGTGCACCGACCGGACAACGGCGACGGTGGCGCCACGCCAGCGATCTTTAAAACGGCGTGTCAGGCGTCTGCGCAAACGGCTCCTCCTCCTTCCCCTCAGACGCCTGCAGCCGCTTCACATCCGCCTCCTTGCGCTGACGGCGGCGGTAGAAGTACACGCCGAGGCCCACCGCAACTCCCACCAGGACACCGCCCACAGCACCCAGCACACACCACAGAGGGATCAGCTTCTGCCCCGACTTGTTCTGCCGCGGAGCAGGCGCGCTCGTCGTGGGGGTGGTGGTGGTGGTGGCGACGGCAGC